GCTTGCACAATATTATAATCTAGAACTCAAGGTCTCTCTGGCCCTTGCCCAGGTAACTGCACCCAAACTGTAGACTGCTCACAGGTTGAGGTTAATCCACTAGAATCCCAGCCATCATCTTTTAATACTGTCTGAAAAGTGCTGGAAGCGTGTCCCATCCCCTGCACGCTCATATCTGGGGGCCAGAGACAAAACCCAAGCTGGTCCACGGGGCTGAGGGCAGCAGGGAAGGGGCACAGCTCCCAGTGAGCACAGTGACGGCTTCTGCTGCTGGAGGGAAGAGGGAGGTCAGGAGCTGCGGGGAACGTCTTCAGTGGAGGACAGAAAGCAAAGAGTCTTCAATTCGTGGAGCTGCACAGCAGTTGAAAAAGAGGAGTCGTTGCCTGGCATTTTCTCTCTCAACAGCAAACTGCTGGCCAGCCGCTGTGGAAGGAAATTCATCAGTCTGCTTACAGAGTCACCTGGAGGTCTAAAATAATTCTTCTTTCGCTAGGAAATATTTGGGCTTAACTGACACTGGTAGTGCTGCAACCCCAGGGAAAAATACGATGAGGGAGGGGGAGACAGGGCTGAAAATGCAGGAGACGTGCTGTGTTTGCACAGCAGGCTGCCAGTCCCCGAGCAGCCTATAATCACTCCCGCCTGCCTCCCAGAACAGGTACTGGATGTGTGCGTGCAGAATGGGGCTGAGTAACACATCTGTGCTCCAGAGGATGCTTCGGCTTCATCAGCCTGTGAGCAAGAATCAAGGCATGTCTTACAAATAAATAATTTTTGAATGACAGAACATGTGAAGGCTGATTTCAGAAGGCTTTGTGTGCTGGGTTGGATTATGATGTGTGTAATAAGGTGCAGGCAGTGACTGAAGCATTTCCTGCAGCCCTCTGCTCCCTCATGTGAGTTCCCTGGTACTCACTCGCACATTTGCTTTCACAGTGTAATCTGGCTTTCTGCAAGGGGTGCTCATTTTCCTCTGTCCTCCCGCCTAAATTTTGCAAAGCTGTGAAAGCAGACTATCTTTAAGACACCTAATACTGGATTCCTTTTGGTTGAAAACTTTGAGTTTCCATTTTGGGAAAACAGTTGTGGTGCATCCCCATTGTAGGAGGACTTTTTAAACTCCCGGTGTCTGATGTCTCTTCAATTAATCATACGTTCCAAATAACTTTATTTAATATGTAAGAGCTAAACAGAAGTGCAAATAAGTCATGCACATGCAATATAAATTACCCATTCAATTCTAAAATCATTCAAACCTCATGAAATGCCTTCGCTGGTACCTGGACCTATTAGCTGAGAAATTTCTGTCTAAATCTAGTCTCTTCAAACCAGAACTGAACCCTGTTGTTTGTGACAGAGCCAGGAAGGGAGCCGGTGCTTTATTATTTTTAATAATAGAACAAGAAATAAAAGAGTTTTCTTTTTCCAGGATTCTCCAGTGAGTATTTTTCACAACCAATATCTTTTCTTCTTTGAAGGTAAATAAATTGCTCTCTTGCTGGTTGAAATATGAAGCCAAGGAATCTATATTAATCTCATCATTTTAAGCTCAAAAAAACACCTGTCTCTAAGAAGCTAAGAAGAATAGATAGCTGACCAGCATCAAGGTTTCCACTGTGGTTTGACTCTTGCTGCATGTCTGCTGTCCAGATAATTCTTTAAATACAAAGGCCAGAGTGAAACTGTTGCCTTTATACCATATGTATACATGCACTTCAGCTCAAGCGAATTGAGCCGTGGACACATACCAACTCCATTTCTTCTAACAGGCATCTCACTATTTGTCTCACCAACACATACCAGCATCTTTTCTGCAGGATAGTCACTATCATTCCTCCTTCTGCATGTGATGTGCATATGCATGCAACCCAAAAAAAGAAACACTGCAAAGCAAGAAACTGGTGAAGTATTAAGCAAAACCAAATGGCATAAAACCAGGTACTGTAGGAATACGGTGAGACTGGAATAGTCCAATTTACAGTTAACAACCCAATTTTCCATGAGAGCAAGAGGCCACACTGGAGCCACACTAACAATTTTCATTCTTTCTAACAAGTCTGTTGTCACCTGAATTGTACATCAGAGGATCATCCTGCTCGCAGGTGCAACCCAGATTTAAAGGTCAGCCTACAAAAGACCCAATAACCATCATAGTGAAATTCAAGACAGATATGGACTTCAGAGGAGTGAAGACCTTAGTTAATAACCAAAAATAACACAAATTCTATCCTGATATCGTGAATGAAAGGATATTAAGAAGTTCAAAAGTTCTCCATTAAGAAGTACAAAGTTGCCTTGTTCTAAGGAGCCCCAAACTAAATATGTGTTAATAGTAGTTGAATGGTTACTATGTGCTTCCACAACAGAATAAAATGATGTTGAAAAGTTTCCAACACTGTTTACTGAGGTATTAGGATGTGGTTTAGAAGGAATAATTATTTTTAAAAAGTATGTAATGGAGAGGCAGAGCTGCAAGGCAAGGTGACAATGAGCCCCCAACTGTGTGACACAGGGTAGCCTAAAGATTACATACAGCCTTTCCTCCCAGCTTAAAGATGGACTGATGGACTGTCAGATTAGTCCTACCCCTGAGCAGATTTGCCTTTCCCTTTTATCTCCCAGCTTTCACTGCCTTCTGCCTTTCTCCATCTAATTAGATGAATTATCAAAGCATATTTTTGTGCTGAGCAGAATACCCCATCCCGGTGCAGCATAGATGGATTTTCAAAAGAACCTAATCTTGGTTTTGATTAGGCTTTTGATGAACAGAGAAGATGAAGCCTGTTAGTCCCTGCAATGAATCCATCAGGCACTCCTGGAGGTGCACCGACGGGTGTTCATTGCTCGAAAAGCCCTCCAAAAATCTGCTTTTTAAACCCAGGCTCCATCGCTACCACCTCTCTGTCTTCACTCCCTTCCCCGCCGCCTCCCTGCCCTGAGCCTCTCCCTGATGCCTGCCACCATCGCCTTGCCCCACATCTCTCCCGCTCCTGCCTGGATCTCCTGCAGTCAGGGCTGGAGCCCAACCAAGCAGCCTTGGTGCAGTCTATCAGCTGAGGATCTGCCAGCAATAGGTCTTGGCCCCCACCGGGGCCGGCGTACCTTGCCACCAAGGTGTGCCCCTGCTGTTTGAGGGAAGGTGGCCATCGAGCAGCCTCAATGCCACCCAAAGCCAACGGGGACCTGCGGTGCCATTCCTTCCAGCCATGCCATGCCACGTCAGGAGCCTCTGTGCAAATTACTACATCTACATATCACAGTGATCTGCCTGTCAGAAATAGTAGCTTCGGTCTAGAAGTCGGTATGAGGATGATGCTGCACCCAGATTAATGAACACGTTCACTCTCAGCAGGGCCAATTAGCCAGGGCGGGCTGGTGGGTTAATTCAGTTCCAGTGCTGGCTTGTTTTCTAGTTGTGACCTTGTTTGCCTCTCATTTGGGTATCTTTGCATGCTGTCACACTACATCTTGGGACCTGGCAGCATCTATGCCACTTCTGAAATGCCGCTTAGTCATTTAGTTCATATAAGCCTTGTCACACTCGGCAGAGCTATACATAAATATGTTTTAAATATCTAGGCACCAGCACACTTCTCAGGTGGTTTCAGGAATCCAGCCCACGCAGCCCTTTAATGCCAACCTGAGAGTGGCGGATTGCTGCTTCATGCAAAACCTGGACTGATGCATTGTTTGATATATCTATCACAAAAGTAAATCAAATTGAAGCATAAAACACAAGAATCAAATTAAAATACTAGTGATCACCATACTAGTAGTTCACATGAAGAGGGGACAGCTAGAATGGGCACCTAGAAGACTGACATTCCACCAGAAAATACAAGTTCAGTGACAAGTCCTGAGAACTGCTTACATTTATTTGAAGAATAAAATCCTGTCTGTCTCCCTCATTTGCTCTTGAGGGAGGAAACTACCACTTAAAAGATGTACATAAAGTCTTCAAGAAAACAGTTCAAATGAGGTGACTGTCTTCAGATTTACTTTCAGAAGAAATTCCCTTATGCTGGGCTTACAGTCACAAGGCTCAAGGCAGTGGTAGCAAAATAATTTAGTAAGCCTTTACCATAAAGACACAATCTTAGCCAAAAAAGAGTTAACATTTTAAAAAGTTGAGAGAAAATTGCTCATTATACCTGCAATAATCTGAATTACTGTACCATATCTGTATTTTAGTATTACCTAGTCATCGAGGTTGAAATATCTTGTTATTGCCATAATTCTCCAAGAAGCAATTATATTACTAAAAACATTATAAAAAACAAAAAGGAATTTTCCTGATTAGTAGCAACAATGTAGCGGGCACAAAAAAAAATGGTTTTATTCAGTATCTCTGAGAGATAGACAGAACCAAATTTCTGAAAAATTGTCTCTTTCATCTCTCAGAAAATTGAGCCTGTAATTATATTCTAGATCTTGGTAGAGACTTAGTATTTATATCATTGTTATGCACTTCTTCTTTGTATATATGTTAATGTGCCATTTTTTAAGTTTTCATAATTTTTATGTATAGATGATTCATTTTGAGCAGCAGCAAAGGAATCTTGAAAATTTTCATCTTTTTTTCCACACATTTTCGCAAATCTGGTCACAGCTTTGCACAGACGTGAGTTTGTAACCAAGTTTTTTCAGTCTACGTATTTACAGAAACAGTTCTGACTTAACGCGAAGTAACCACGGAAAGCTGCGACAACCTTCATACTCGAGCAAAACTGTAAGGAGATATTGAAAACGAGCTGCTGTTAAGAATAACTCCGTTAAATAGCAAATACAGATGTCATGGTTGCGCAGGGCGGGTTTTGTAGGAGGCTTGGGGAAGGCAGGCAGGCTGGGGAGGTGCGATTAGCCGGGGCCCCCGGCGGGGACGGGGTTATCGCCGGCAGGGACTCCTGCCAGGTCACAGGGCAATATTTCTCTGAAGCGGACAATCTGCAGGAGTTTAGTCATAATAAAACAGGATAAAGTGTGTTTTCGTAAACACAGAAAGGACGCAGGCTCATGCTGCGAAAACAGCTGCGAAAACTGTCAGTGTTTTGGAGTCTGGCTTTCTCAGCTTCAACTTTTAAGATATTTAATTCTTCATAGAATATTTAAAAAGGAAACAGTGACCATGAGTAGAAATGTAAGGTCTGAGTCGGGGCGGAAACGTATTTTCAAGGGAATGTAGTGTTTGGGATTTTGCTTTTGCAAAATCTGGTAAAAACAGAAAGAACTGAGGGGAGAAAAAGGAAGTAAACTTTTTTTATTAGATGTTTTCCCACAGAATTATCAGTGAAGCAGAGGCGCCTGTTTCAATTTCTGCAAATCTGCAGTTTGGGGAAGTACGTGAATATCACGGGGGAGTTTCAGAATTAAATGACTGGATCACTCAGACCCAGATTCTGCACAGAGAAACCAAAAGGAAAACCTCGGGCACTGCTGGCACTTCCAAGATTACATCAATAACTGCGTTGCTTCACTCACCTTATACTCACTGTAGTGTGGCTATTTTTGTCTGCAGTTGTAACGCTGCAGCACAGTGATAACTCACTATGAAAGTGTGGGGGGCTTCGCTGTGTAGTTTCATCTGTGTTTGGGCTGATTGTTGAGCCTGAGCCCCACCAGCCGCTTCGGCAGGGCTCTGGGTAGCAAGGTGGCACATCCACTTTCCAAGCTCTATTTCATACTATGTCGATGCCTTCTTTTTTGCTTATAAAAGGGTTTCCACTTCCAACGCCTTAATTCCTGGTCAAATTTTAGAGATTTGTTAACAGATAGAAAAATTGCACGGGGGCACCTAGATGTTTAATCCAGCTCCGTGTCTACTACCAGATGACTTAGACGTTGCTCATATACCCTTGTAGAGATCAGAAAGCTTGTGCTAGCAGATCCCTTGCAGGACTAGGACCATACTTCATGAGTTAAGAACGGCTCTCCATGCTCAGCCATGTTTGGCTTTGGCATGTTGCATATGACAAGGCCAGCTGTACTAGTAGGGGTCTGGACGTCTAATCAACCAGAAAGAGCAAGCGGCTATCTCTGGTGTCCTCCCCCATCCCCCAGCAGAACACATTTTTCCAGAGCCACTGATATTCTTGCAGCGCAAACCTGATTTATGACCAGTGCCTTCAGGAGCTACTGCAATGCACATACTTAATTTGATAGTGATAGTTCCAGTAGCACAAACTGATAACATTTACACAGGATCTTTCTGTAAATGACTTGTATTTACAGAAATAAATTCCATTAGTATCTCCTATTTTCAAACATTCAGATCTGTGAATATGAATGCTCCTGCATTTGTATAAAAATATCCTCAAGATGCTCATGCGAAAACATTGAAACATGCACAAATTATATATAGAGATATATGAGAGAAACACAGTATGAGAATTAAAGAAAAGAAATACACTAAATATAGTCTATCAAAGAAATACACTAAATAAATACCTGGTTTTAACTTGCCTGTTCGGTCCATGTAACAGTCCAACAACTACGTTGCTCAGGTGGATGGTCCCCTCAGCTACTTTCGGTTGAAGTACACAAAGCTGAACTTAGCAATTAGATAAAAAAGTTGAGCTACTTTCTAATTTCCACACTTTCAAGTACATTAAGCAATTAGCAGGAACACTTTGTGGATTAGCTTTTGCAAGCCCTGCTAGAGGGGCCTCATGTCCTTAGCCTTGCTGGAACTGCACGCTGATGAGCTAATACGCAGGTGAAACCCGCACAGCCCCCTCCCATTTGGTGCAAAACACTTTGCACGTGGTAGTAGGGTCTCTTCTATTAACTCGGAATGTTTTTAATGCCTGTGAGTTATTTGTTTGATAGAGGGCAATAAAGAAAGGTGAAGAGGGCTGTCCCTCTGACCCACAGCGTAGTGCTCTGCAGCAGCACGCAGTAGCCTCGGGTGGTTTTTATGCCCAGGATTAACAGGGATTGGGAACGATGCAGAAGCAGCATGCTGAATCAAGGGTCGGAAATCGCTTTGCGGGGCAATTTCTCTAGTAAGACTCAAAAATGATGATGATTTCCAAGTACAAACAAACACCCGAATGCCCTATATTCAGAATTTGTTTATTTAGTCTCAATTTTTATACCGTAAATGGTGCAGCTCAGAGCTTTTTGGATGAGCTGACAACGCTGCGTTTCATGGCACAGAGGTTTGGCTGCAAGTGACAAAACTATCAGAAAATCTGGGAGAAGTGAATGCAAATAAGTTTGTTAAACTTTGACAGCAAACAAGAGAAAAAAGAGAACTTGTTTTCAATCAGAGACATTGCGTCATGCCCTTTTTCCCTTATTAGGGAAGGCACTGAAGCATTTCTGTTTATGCTGAATTTACTCCTGGTGGCTGTGGATACAACTAGTTTCAAATATGTATTCTTTTTAAAAACCTTTTTTTTAAATCTCTAAAATCTTCAAAAAAGATTGTCTTGAGTCTGTTCTCAGTCAGATGGATTTCTACCTCTGGGTTTATTTTTTCCTCATGTTCATTTTGGCCTTATGAAGGATTCAGTATTAAGGAAAGTGAAACATTTCTTTTGCTGCAAAGTCCTCTCCTTGTAAAAGCAGCATGTCTTTTTTTCCTCATCCTTAATCCTCTGTCCCTTTGGTCCATTTCTTCTCCGCAGTTTTCAAGCATCATAAAAGCTGCAATTCTCTTTTCCCTAGGTTTCTGATAATTATCTCTTACTTGTTTCTACAGTCTCTCTCCTATTCCCTTAAAGAAAATTGCCAACACTCTACAAACTGCATAATGAATAATAATGAAGGATTTTATTGCACACTTAGCTGTAAGCACACTCATGAATTATCTAAGTTTGTGAATGAATATTTACACTTAACCTGGCCTCAGATACACACATGCGTTGAGAATATCAGTAATATCTGTGACAGATAGAAATGTCTCCAAGTTTTCTGTAACAGGGGAGAAAATCCTATCTTCATTTGCTCTTCAGCAGTCTCAAGAATATGTCTGTGGAATAAAAGTATTTTTTTTCTCTTAGCTGAAGGACAGAGCTGCACAGTTCATCATGCCAAGCTAATGTATTTATGGTCCGAAAAGCTCTCCTCACTCCCAGACTTCAGGCTTACAGTGGAATCCAAGGTATGTAATGATGATATGAACATGATATACTTTACTGTAACCTGTGCTTCAGGCAGCTGTTAATGCCAGTCTAGCTTTCTGTAGTCTGTAGCCAAAGGAAAGTTGTCTGTAGCATATGTATAGCTTCAGTCCGCAGCATACTTACTGTGAAGTCAATGGCATGCTGAAGTAGATGCCACAGAACCTAAGAGTCATTTGTTAAAATTCAAGTCTCAGATGTTAACGTATCTTTGGGATCATTTCTCTGTCTAAGAAAGAAATTCATTTCCTCCCTGCTAAATTACTATTGTGGTAGTGTCTAAAGACTCGTGCAAAGATCCAGAGACACATTGTACTAAACTTTACAGAAACACTGGGGAAGATGGTCTGGCTCCAAAGAGATAGAAGTCAAAGGTAGCAAAAAGGTCAAAACACATAAAGGAGAAACCAAGAACTACAGTGTGAAGGGAAACAGAGAGATACACCGACCTCCCCACAACTGCTGAGCACATCAAGAACAGCAGGACTTGAACTCAGTCTGTTGGCTCCTAGTGTCATCTTCTATTGTATGCTGCGCTTCCAACAATCTTGGCCAGGAGAGAGGTGCCTTATTATTTCAATATTGTCCCAGATAATCTCTTTTTAAGTTGCTCTTGTTATGTAGACCCTTAAATTTTCAGGCCCAGTTTATGCAAGTCATATGCTGCTTTGCTAACCAGGAGATCATTATATTTTTCACCAAGTGTAAATGCTTTCAGTGGCATGCAGGTCAATAATACCCTACTCACTGCTTATTTTATGAACATGCAACACTTATGCACATGATGTAGATCCAAAAATATGCACAGTGAGTTTCTCTGCAGCATCTCAGTTAGTGGTCCTGGTCCTGAACTGTCAGGGAAGGGAATCAATCAGTCATTGCTTTTCCTTGGACTCTTGCTCTCACTGATCTGCAAAAAAGAACATGAGCAACTTTTAAGTTCAGACCTTCAAAAAGCTAAGTAGTGTGGAAGGATTGCTTGATTTTATTCACATGCAACACTCCTCCTAAGACATCCTCATAGATGGTTACTTTTGTGCAGCAGTATGACATTGTTGACTCATAAGTGCTTTTTTTTTTCCCTATAATCTTCAAATATTTTTCTACCAAACTGCTGCAAGTAAGCAGTTCCCATTTTTAATTAATTAATTTTAATTTATTAACATTAAATAATGTTTGTCAGTACCTAAATGTACCTTAACTATGAAAATACCGAGTGAAGTATTATCAAAGGCTTCATTAACCTCATCACATATACTTACAGCTTCTCCCTCTACACTTATTTATGTGCATACATTAGTGAAAGCAATGGCAACATGTATTGATTGTACTGTGGATTAGATTTTAATTATTACAGTTTGTAGAACAAAGACATAATTAATTTCACACCACATACAACTGCCGTAGGATAACTTTACCTTCTTTGCAACATTTTCTAAAGAACCGGTTCTCTATGAAGTGACTCTATTTTTAATCACACTGCCAAAACATAAAACTGCGTTCGTAATTCAGGTGCTGTACACCAAGTACATCTTCAGTGTGGAGGTCTCAAGACCTTTTTGGAGTGCAGGGGCATCACCCATGCTTGCAAAGAGGAGGAGCTCAGGTATGGACACAGCTATCGTCTACATCTGAATTTCTCGTCTGCAGAGCCAGCTATCAGGTGCCAGACTGAACTTGCAAGTGCATAGTGAGAGGCAGGCTTTGTGGACAAGTGAAGATAAGAAGTAGGTACAAAACTCACAGCAGACAGCACAGACATGTATTTACCTTCCCAGAGCTCCTTGGAAAGGGCTCAAGACACCTTCAAGGGCATTTCCTCTTACAAGAGAGAGAGTGAGCACCTTCACGGCTAAACTCCTTAGTCATCTATAAAGGATTAAGCATTAGGGGGAAACAAGAAGAGCCAAAGTTCTGTAATTGATTTTTGGCAGAGAGGAGCACTCAAAAGCCCCCACAGATTTGGTAGTAGCAGGCAAAACTGATTTCTTGGATCTAGTGCTGCACAGAAGTATGAAAAGGGTGTAGACAGGAAAAGATGACACCAAGACAACAGGGCAAAAACAGAGAGTAGGAGCTGGCTGCCTGTTAAGAGGAGAGGGAAAAGAAGGCAAAAGAGATACTGATGTCAAATTTCTTTCCATAAAAGCCCTATTTTCTACTTGTTTCCATTTTACCTTAGCCTTTGACGTCAGTGAATGGCATCTGTTCATTCTAGCAATAAAAATCTAACCCACAGTTTCTAGATCCCACTTTTTAACAAGATTTCAGAACTTTGTCATGTGATTATTTGCACATTTCTATCTGATTATTTGCACATTTCTACTGAATTATTTGTCTGTGTGATATTCTGACCACTACATCCATCATAAAACACACCTTGGAGTAAGTGTAACAGTGGGTTTTGCTTGCCTGAGCTTCTTTCAAATTGAAATGCAGTTCCAAAAGAGGAGCTAACCTGCATGTGTAGAATCATAAGACTACTTTAGCATCTTGCAAACACATTTGGAGAAAGCAAAATTAAACATTTAAGCATGCTGATTAAGGCATTGATTCTGCAAATACTTACTACCAGGCTTAATACCCTTGAATCAGGGGGACTATTCATGGTCAGAAAAGCTGTGCATGTGAGTAAACATTTACCTCTCTCAGCCCTTGAAAGCAATTGCAGGGAATATTTTTCTTCTAGATGGACAGTGCTCACTCGTCGGCAGTCCACAACTATGAAATGACATATATTATAATTGTGAAAATTATATAGGACTGCCCCTAATAACAGCCTGTAGTCAGTAATTGGCTCCGTGGTGAGACGAGAAGCGCTTAGTCATTCCGTGAGAGGCACACAGGAAATGCCAAGACGAACTGTCGTAATTAGACACATATTATTAGTATTTATTAAAACACAACTAGTTACACTGGTTGTGCATATTCTGTAGGCAGGCCTTTTGAAAAACTGAGTAATCTAGCCTTAGCCATGCAATATAGGCCTTGTTTACAATAGAAAGTTGTGCTGACCTAACTATATTACTACAGTTAAAGCTGTATACCTCCCGTTTAGGAGAAGCTGTATCAGAATAGCTTATTTTTCCTCAGCAGAAAACCAGGGGCAGTATAAAACACATTTGTACCAGTATAAGCGTGCATCATTTTAAATAGTACAATTAAATCGGTTGTAAAAATTCAGACAGCTCAGATAACATAGTTAAATTTGCATATGATGTATGAAGAGACCAGACTCTCTATTTCACAAATAAATGTGAATCAATGATTCTCAGCCCTCTTGCGTGCAAGAAGGGGGAGAAGAGAGAAGGGAAAATGCCCAGTGTTTAGGATAAAGCCTTTTATGCCTGAGCATCTTGTGACCTAACCAGCATTTGCAACTCAGTGAAATGCAATGTATTCGTTTGGCAGCCACCTCTAAAAGTACTTGAATCAGTCTGAACTGATTCTTTGAATAGGAACGAAGAGGGAATCACTATGGCTGGAGGGAGAGAAGCTGCTCATTTAACAAAACAGTAAAAGGTCACAGAGGGATAAATGTTTCTGCCAGCATTAATTTTACTATAAAGTTCCAGTTTCTCATCTTGAAAATTGAAGGGATTTTTTCCTTGTTCTTCCAGTAAGAGGAAGTAATGCATATATATGAACAAGCAGCACACTGTGTTATGGTGGAAGCTGGTTAATACTCTCTGAAGAAGATTTTTGTTTTCCATTGATCACTGATGAGCACCACAGCGCTGGTGGACCGACAGCAGGACCGGGCAGCAAAGTCTGGGCTTCTGCTTGCAACCGTACCTCTGGCCTGCTGTAACACCTTTGGTAAATCACCTTCTCTCTCTGCGTCACAGTTTCTTCCTTTACAAAATGAGAGAAGGTCAATTTGCAAAGCAGTTTGAGAAATAATGATTACAAGTGCTATATATTAGTTGGGTGGACTTATTAGCTTCTATACCTTCTTTTCTTGTGCAATAGCCACCAATAAAGACAGATATTTCAGCTTTGATTGCTTATTAGATAACTTACTAATTTTGGATTCAAATCTGAATTCAGATTTCAAATGAAATTCAAAGCTTCAAATTATTGAACGTGATTTTTCAGTTTCATGTTACAGAAAATGTAAATTTTCATATAGAATACTTCAATAAAACACATTTTGTTCCTATTTATTATTTTGAGTATCCAAATGGACACAATCGATCTGCTCAGCAACGCTATCTCTTTTTGAAGATTCCCCTCATTAGGTATTTATAGAGAAATTGCTACAAGTAATTCCATTACCAATTGCTACCAGTAATTCCATTAGGCTGAATCAGCGAGTAACCTTGTTTCTGACACTATAACCAGATATATCACATGAAGTTGTGAACTGAATGCATCATGCACTGGGTGGCTGCTGAGAAGAATATACTGAAAGTTAGGAAAAGAGAAAATAGCACACAGACATGGGATGTAACAAACTGAGACAGGATTTGGAGCCCATTGTTCCTTGCTGTATCTTACTAGCAAACTTACTACAATTAAACTGGGGGGGTGAGGGGGGGAAGTTTTGATTTGCATAATTACCTAGCATGTGGCACATCTTTTACCTATAGTCTCGAATATGGAAATAAAACTATTCACATGTCAAAATATTTTCAGCATCAGAACCGATATCATCGAATCATAGAACGGTTTGGGTTGGAAGGAACAGTTAGAGGTCATCTAGTCCAACCCCCCTGCAATAGTCAGGGACATCTTCAACTAGATCAGGTTGCTCAAAGCCCCATCCAACCTGACCTTGAATGTTTCCAGGGATGGGACATCTACCACCTCTCTGGGCAATCTGTTCCAGTGTTTCACCACCCTCATCGTAAAAAATCTCTTCCTTATATCTAGTCTGAATCCACTTTCCTTTAGTTTAAAATCAAAAGGTCCATGTCTTTCTTCTACTGAGGACTTCAGAGCTGGACAGAGTACTCCAGGTGGGGTCTCGCCAGAGTGGAGTAGAGGGGCAGAATCACCTCCCTCGACCTGCTAGCCAAGCTTCTTTTCATGCAGCCCAGGATACGGTTGGCCTTCTGGGCTGCGAGCACATTTTGCCAGCTCATGTCCAATTTTTCATCCACCAGTATCCCCAAGTCCTTTTCCGCAGGGCGGCTCTCAATCCCTTCATCCCCCAGGCTGTCTTGTGCAGGACCTTGCACTTGGCCTTTTTGAGCCTCATGAGGTTCACATGGGCACACTTCTCAAGGTTGTCCAGGTCCCTCTGGATGGCATCCCTTCCCTTAGGCATGTCAGCTGCACCGCTCAGCTTGGTGTTGTCTGCAAATTTGCTGAGGGTGCACTCAATCCCACCATCTATGTCATTGATGGAGATATTAAACAGTATTAGTCCCAGTATGGACCCCTGAGGGACACCACTCGTCACTGATCTCCAACTGGACATTGAGCTGTTGGCCACTACTCTCTGGATGCGACCATCCAGCCAATTCCTCATCCACCCAACAGTCCATCCATCAAATCCATATCTCTCCAATTTAGAGAGAAGGATGTTGTGGGGCACCATGTCAAAGGCCTTACTGAAGTCCAGACAGATGACAGCCATAGCTCTTCCCTTGTCAACTGATGTGGTCACTCCATCATAGAAGGCCACTAGGCTGGTCAGGCAGGACTTGCCCTTGGATATTGTCAGGTGTTCCCACATGTAAGTTCCAGGCAGCATGTTCTGTCACTGCAAGATCGTACTTGGTGTCAGTTTTACTGCTTTAGTTCTGTAAAGGATCAAATACAGGTATAAACTGGAATAAACAGAAGCTAGTCTCAGCTGTTTGTGTACTAGGTGTGGGAGAATAGCTACTCTTGCTTAATTGAAATTGTCTCTATTTCTGTTTTACAGTTGTCTCTCTTTTGTATATGCTAGCTAAACTTATTTAATTACATGTTTTATGTTTGAAACGTTTATATTATAATATTTTTCTTGATATAGCACAGAAGATAATCTAAAGCATACATTTAAATAATATTATTTGTCAAATTATTTAATCTGTTTCATGAGGGACTACTCCTTTAATTTTTTTGTATTTCCTGTATTCTTGGTATACATAAGAAATTATCTTTATATGACACTGAATCTTTGAATGATGATAATACATGATTTTCTGTAAGACAGAAACTTCCTAGTAACAAAAATGGTTCGTTCTGCAATTCCTGGTAAACCTTTCCAATATTTAAAGGTATAGCCTTGAATACCAGTGACCCAGGCCCCACTGGCTTTATCAATATCAATTTTACTGAGCTGTTTGCCAGGGTGCATGTCATGAAATACATGAAAAGCTTTTGTTCTATTAATTGTCTTTTGGATATCATCCCAGCATCTTCTGGCCATTCCAAATCATGTTTGCTTGAGATGGGTTTGAATTAATTCTCTGAATTCAATGATGTCTCAGGTCAAGGAAGTTCAGAGGCAGGCTCTGATGTACTCCCTTCTCTTACAAATTTCCTGCCTGTGTCCCTTCATCTTGTGCCATGCAGTTATCTGAAAATCCTGTGCAAATTATGAATGCTTTTTAAAAAACTCTAATTTTGCCCAGATTTGTATTAAAATTATATTGTAAACATATATATATATATATGGATGATGAGAGGAGTCTAGGATCTTAACAGGTTGTGTTCTTCCTGTTCAATTAGTTGTAAATTGTATATCTTTCTGGCCCTAACTTAGGAAACCGCTTTAATGCATGATTAAAACCCAGTGAAATCAAGATCTCAGCACACATTTAAGGCTTAGCCTACACTTCAGTGTTTAAAAGAGCAGTTTACCAGCACGCATTCCTGAAGGAATATTTATCATGGTAAACCAGTATTTCCCTGTGATTGGGACACAGTCTCCAGGCAATCCACCAAAAGAGATCTAAGAGATCATGAGACACTGAAAAATTTATTAAATAACACTGAGACAACTTAAATATTTAACTTCTGTGAGGTCTGACATAGTAAGTTTGGTAGCTCCACCCTTTTCATACGCTGCAGGTGACTCTTGGCATTATCTCAGTGCTCCACAACCCACACTCCCTTATCATTCACCGTCAAGAATTCAGTCAATCTCTTGAAACATGCATGGAAATGATGTACGCATATACTGAGAAACACAGCAATGTACTGTTCAGCACTCCTATCTGAAAAACCAGTATAATTTATAGGCATGAATATATACTAGCATATACATGTACATTTATGGATTTCTGCTTTTACTTTTATGAACCTGTGCAACAAACTTTGCAACACCATTATTTTTTTCTTCCCTGGGGAGTAAGGAATTTGTGTTTATTAACCAGGTAAACATAGATTCATCTCTGTATAGTGTCTTCTCTAACATTTTGCTAAACTGAAAAATTGGCTGCATCATTGTTATTCTGTGCTTTCCAGAAGTCCACAACTGAACTGTCAGCATGCTGGAGGTGAGAAACCATTAGAACCTTACATACGTGCTATACCCTGTCAAAGTGTTGCAGAGTTCGTATGGTCCTTCCCCAGATCCCTTCCAGGCATTGGGGCTTAAAGGTTATGTTCCCTTCTGGAAAACCACATGTACCCCATTTTGTTTAACTAATGCTTTATCTTCAGAAGCAGGTTTTCCAATACAATGTAAATATAAATATTCTGCTGTGACTTCCTGTGGACTCCCTTATATTATAGTTTACAAATGGCTTTTTTGATTTTCTGATGTCACATGGAAAAGGAACCGAAAGTGGAAGAAAAAACCCTTATGCAAGATGAAAGGAGTATTCATAGTTGTATGCGGTAAACCTTTCCCAAAGAGACAACTTAAATTATGAAGCTTATTTTTTTCATTGGCATTACATTAATTTCTTACTGAGACATTTAGTGACTGCAAACAGTAACTGATATTGTCTGCAAATATGATACACTATGTGGGTGTTGCGAAAGCTAAATATAGCTCACAAGACAATTCCTCTCGTGCTATCACTACCATCTTGTACAATCTTGGAGTGGAGATGAAAGGAAGTGACTAATTCAGGAGGTGCATGAACCCCAGCAGAAGTTGCTGCTTCCACATGAAGGAGTGGTTTGCCATCGCTCGGCAAGCAGAGACCGGCGTATTTGTCCAGCAGCAGCTCCAGGGTTAAAAAAGTGGAGAGTGCAGGTGCAGGAACCTCTGATAAACCTTCTCATCTCCTTCTGGGAATGGGTTGTTGCTGCAATAATGTTATCACAAGAGCCCGTCTGTAGAGACTTCTGCCGCTGTTGTGAGTGAGTGCAGAAACGTGTTGGTACAACCTCTCTATTCAGCCCTGGGAAGGCTGAGAACCTGGTGAGACCAGTGGGAAGACTGAGCTTCTACTCAGTGGAGCAGCACCATGCTGTCCACTGTACCTATGATGCTGCGCTCTTGACAGGTGATAAATCATGTCAACCTCCTTAGCTGCCATAATGTTTCTGTTGTAATTATATCTATGTATCTATTTATTGTGATGTTTTATCTTGCAGGTTTTAAATATGATGTATTAAAACATGGTGCAGTGCAATCCAAATGCAATGAGGCAAGTAACTGTAAAAGCCAAAATTAGGATACAGAGAACAATGTATTTCAAATTAAGTGGGAACAAGATTACTTGTTAGCTGAAAATAATGAGCACCTTCAGTGCCTTATGTGCATGCAAATGATAGGTGTGCCAAAGGAATATAATATCAGCTGACATTACAAAACCTACCACCATGAAAAAAATAAGAGAAGTGCACTGGAGAACCTAATCATTACAGAATTAAAAGAAACTCCCCCCAAAATCAACATCACAAGCAAAGAAGCATGCTGATTTAAAATGTCACTGCATAAACTCAAAACCTGGCTGCCCCAGATGAGACATGCCTCAAGTGAACCCCTGAAATGGGATGGTGAGCCAGAAAAAGGTATGCAGTTAAAATGTTCTCTGCATCTATGGCTAAAAAAAATTAACAAAACATGGAAGCTTGTTATCATCCCATGTAACTATAGAAAGCAGAATAGTTGGTGCAAACAATCACATGCTCAAAATTTGAGAGCAATCACAGAAAAATGTAAGCACTTATCATTGACTTTGGATGAGACCACTAACAGCAATGAAACCAGGCAGTTGTTAAATTTCAGCTGAGCTATTGCTAAGGTTTTCTTTGTAAAACAAATGGGGCAGTACTTTTACCGTACATTGGAAGTATTTCTTTCTACCACTAGCTCATGTAACAGTTTTCAGAACTCCCTTGTCACAAATAGTGACAAGCAGTGACTGTCTAGAAAAGTCAATTAATGAGTTTGCTGAAAAGAAACTGCAGCTGAATACCTCACTTTCACTGCACAATACTTTACCAGACAGTTGATGGTAAATCTATGAAACAACGAACATGAAGACTAGTATCATATATATTGTTAACCTCATTCACAGAAGAAATACTGCACACACACACAGAAAATGTATCAAATATCTGAAGCAGCTGAAGCTAAACTATGGGAATTTACCCCCTCATTCAAAAGTTGGTGACTGTAAGCAGGGAGGCTGCCTTCTTCACTTTTCCAAATCTGCATGTGTGAAGATGAGAGAGCAAATAACACATTTCAGTTATAAGAGCCTATCTCTGCTCATTGGTCTTCCTACCAGCTCTGTAATAGCTCCAGTCTGCATGGTGCCTAAAATCTGAGAGCTATTCAGGTCACATATTATCCATGGAAGAGCTTAAAATTTACTGGAGTTTCCATGTCGGACTGCAAAATTTTCTACAAAGACACACACACACTTAAAAGTATCCCGAACTGAACTCTTAAAGCTGTAATTGAGAAAGAAGTGCCTAAACTCATCCCTAGAGAGCCCATTCCCACATCTAGCATCCATGAATAGCACTGAATTTAGCTCAAAATCCATTTAGTACTCCCAGCTGACATTAAGCACTCTTATCCCGCCTGTGGAGCGAGCTCCTCCAGAAGACTGCTCTAAGCAGCAGTGTAGAGAATAGCTTAGGATGAGGTCCATATCCTCCCTCCTTTTAACTCTCAGTAACTCACTCATGAGATAGAGATAGTATTTACATTTTGCATTACAGAGTGAGGTAAACTGCATACATATAAATGGAAATAGAGTTTGAATTCCAAGTCTTTTAGACTTTTCATTTTAAAGGAGTATCTTCAGCAACAAGATATAGGGAGTTTGGGTCTGGTTTTATACCCTTCTTGGTTCTGCCTTTCCTTTCTGAACAATAACTCAGTTGCAACGAGAGGGATGGACAGTGGCCTGTATCCTAGGGCATTCTACCATCTGCTCATTCCTTTGGAAAATCAGAATCAGTGGGTTCAGCTTCCTCAAGACTGAAAAGGTTCTAGAAGAAACATTTCTGTCTTCTAAGATAAATACACAAATCAACAGATTCCTGTGCACAGGGCTGCCACAGCTGTGTCCTCCACTGGTACCTGCCTGCTCTGAGGACACAAAACAGTATTTTTAACTCTGAAGTTATGTCTACAGTGGCATATAAACCAAGACCAGCATATGGACTTGAACACAGGACTACGTAGTACTTAACTGTTAGCACAGTTGGCCAATAACCACTGTCTAGCATCATCTGGAGTAGCACATGCCAAGAACCATCCCCAATAGGAAACCTGGATGTAGCCACACTGGTTTGGGGGAGTGAGGAGAGAAGAAAGTGCAGTCATGTGGATGTGAAGTGGGGGCCTCTCACGACCCCTACTTACTTGTAAAAATGTCTTGTTGTCTAGAGTTATTTCTGGCAAAGCCAAACCTGCTGTCTTTTCAGATGGTTTTCAATAGTGTTTTCTACTGATGAGCTCTAAGCAGTTCTCCATTTCAGTATAAGGGAGTCCTGGATCACCTGGCAGCCCTAAGCAGTCGGGGGAGATGTCATGGTTTAATCCCAGCCAGCAGCTAAGCACCACACAGCCGCTCACTCACTTCTCCCCCCACCCAGTGAGATGGGGGAGAGAATCGGAAGGAAAAAGGTAAAACTCATGGGTTGAGATAAGAACAGTTTAATAGAACAGAAAGAAAGAAACTAATAATTATAATAATAACAATAATTAAATGCCAATAATAACAATAAAAGGATTGGAATATACAAAACAAGTGATGCACAATGCAATTGCTCACCACTCGCCAAACGATGCCCAGTTAGTTCCTGAGCAGTGATCTGCCCCTCCCCAGCCAGCTCCCCCCAGTTTATATACTGGGCATGATGTCACATCATTCCATTCATGGTATGGAATATCCCTTTAGCCAGTTGGGTCAGCTGCCCTGGCTGTGTCCCCTTCCAACTTCTTGTGCCCCTCCAGCCTTCTTGCTGGCTGGGCATGAGAAGCCGAAAAATCCTTGACTTAGTCTAAACACTACTTAGCAACAACAGAAAACATCAGTGTGTTATCAACATTCTTCTCATACTGAATCCAAGACATAACACTGTACCAGCTACTAGAAAGAAAATTAACTCTATCCCACCTGAAACCAGCCAAAGCAGAGAAGCCTGTGCCACATACAGGTGCCCTGAATCCCTTTTTACAGGGGCTTATAGTTTTTCACAGACTGCATAAGAAACGTTGCCTTAATATTTTTTGGCACAGCAATGCTTCAATTCCAGATATGGAAATCACTGCTATGCACAACAGTGAAGCATGGAATTTTCAGCTTGTTTCTTAAGGGTATAATTGCCTACCTGAAAAACTTTTCTATGAAGTACTGTTTGGTGTAAAGAAACACATTCATCTGTGAAAGTATGCTCCCAGGAATAAAAATCTGTAAAATCAAAATATTGCAACAAGCCAGAAAGCAATGCCCTTGGCTGCCAATTCTTATTCACTGCTGTGAATATTGACATTGACATTTAGGAAGAAAATGTGTGTTCTGAGAAATAAACTACTCTTTTATTTAATGATACTGCATTCATTTTACCCCTTTAACAACCAAAGTCCAAGAGATCCATCTCATAGGATTCTAATTCCATCTGTGATCTGTAGTTTTAGCCCAAACCTGGCATCTAATACTCTCCTCTGATACACCACCACTGGATTACCTTGGTCTTTAGTGCCTCCTCCTTGTGTTATCTGATCACAGTAGGTTCAGGATTTAGCTCTACCTGGCCCTACAATCAGCCTCAGAGAGAGAAAAATGTTGCTTTCTTAGGGGAAATGACCTCTGGCTTCCCTACACCTGGAAAAGCTGGCTGGGTCTAGACATTTAACCATTCCTTTATTTCATGACCTCTTCAACTGTCGAAGCATGTGAAGTTTTTCAAGATCAAGACAGAAATTTTCATTCAGCCAGTTAAAGCTATGCCTGCTTTTTTGTCCCTTGGCAGTTGATATTGAAATATTATCAAACTCAAGAGACACATCTCTTTCAACACAAAATCCTAATGAAACCAGAAAACAAGTAATATTCATGCCAACAGAGAAAACTTCCTTGAGAGAAAACACCTTTGAAATATAAATACATAAATTGGCCTTGGAAAGCGAGATAGGTTTTTTTCCCATTAACAAGCTCCAGTGAGTAACTCTTCAAATGAGCGCCTAAATATCATTCAGTTGGAATTACAAGCCAAAATATCATGAAAGATATTTTAGAGAGCTTAACAGTGTAGTTGCAAAGTATTGAAATATTAGCTACTTCTTGACAGAAAAATACCCTTTCCCTCTCTCATGCTGCTCAGTGCTTTCTATTTCAGGCTGACAGCCCTGCAGTCAATCACAGTAGCTAGAAATCTCTCCTTAGTGCAGTTACAGGTTTGGAAATGCAGGTACTAGATCTCAGCATGTATTTCCAAACAATTTTTTTCTAAGATCAAAATAGTAATTTTTTTGGTTGGGATTCAATACCCTTTTTTAAATGCCGCTTTTGTCAAACTTGACTTTTTTCCTTATCCTATATGAACTCTTTGTAATAGCTGCTGGCATTAATCAGCCACTCTTAATGGTTCTTTGATATCTATGGAATTAGTTATTTTTAATGGCAGCACTTCCCAGCTTATCAGTTCTATCAGAAAGCAGCAATGGCCATTTTTCCTTCTGCTCCCACACAGATAAAACAGTTAGTTCACGCACACAAAAATATATAGAACAAACATAAGATTATTACAGCCTATAAGTCACGCATACAGATTCCCTTATCTGCCACAGCTTTCAAAATATGTATTTTTTTTAAAGCATCTGAAAACATGCACTCTTTTTGCTTTGCAGTTTTTACCATGGGATCAGATAAGAAAGCTTTTTTGATCAGTCAAAACATAATGTCAGAGTGCCAAGACAATAAGCCATTAATACACAAAGAATCTTTTCTTTTACTGGGGTCTGCAACAGAGTATCATGTTAAGAAAATGCTGATGTATTGGATGAAAAGGATAATACCTTCAATGCAACTACTTTAAGAACTCGATACATTTTCATGTTTCTTTCACTTTTTGTTTCATATAGATCATTAATAAAGATGGAATGACTCTTTTAGTATATTCATTCCAAAATCTGTGGCCAGATCGTCAGCTAGTATAATGCAATCAACTCTGTTTTCAGCATTTTCACTGACTGAGAATATGGCCAATATCTGAAAAAAAACGTTTGGTGGAATTAGTGTGGAACAATAATTGTATTTCTGACGAGTAAGGCAAGGATTGGATGCTGATGCTGCAGGCTACTCAAGGATGGTTAATTGTATTCATGAACTATTTGTAAGACAGCAAGCTGCCAAAACCTCAGACATTTCCAACATGGTAATTCTGGAATGCTGTAGTAAATAGGAAAAAACAGATGTCATAATGTGTTTCATCTAGTTTAAAACTTAACATGTAATTAACTTAATGGCTTGACAATAGCTGATGTAGCAACAAATATAATGCAATTAAATTAGTACCTCATTATGACATCAAATTCTTCTACATGTGCATTACCAAAAAAAAGATCAGATTTTGAGACATTGGTATACTTTACAGTGACTAACTGTCCTTAAAATGCAATTTGTATTGTGTTTCATCACTTGTGAAAATTATCTTATTTTTATAACACTGTACTTTCTGTACCCTTTTCATTATACCACTAGTGAAAGCTGTTCCTTGGTTTACTGTTTCCAATGCTCTATCTAGGTACTTGGACTTTTACATTCATTATGTAGCATAAAGCTTTCATTTTCTTTATCTTTTGTGCTGCTTGGCTGCTTGTCCAAAGTGGTGTAGGCAATTATCGCTGTTCTTTCACATCTTCTCTGAGTATTTCTTACAGTAGATTTCGGGTGGTCTGTTTTATGCACACAGCAGCATGTTGAGACAGAGTCCTGTTCATGTATTATTTTGGACTTCCCAAAGGTTTCTCAGGGTATTATTAGGGTTTCCCAATTGTTAGTACTGCAGGATGAAAAAGGGTAAGAGTACGCTGAAGCAGAATAACTTTAAAAAAAATGTAGGGTCCCAAAGAAATACCAACACCAAGCCCAGCCATTCTTGTTACAGAACAGCACTGCCTGACCTGCAATTTCTGTGACAGTTTCATATGCGTGGTTTGTGTTCAAAGAAAGCAAAAATACATTTTGAGGTTATAGTGATAGGGTTGTATTAAACAGAAAACAATTTTACTTTGAATTTTGTAATTGATTTTTGAAGTGACTCAGATCTTCCAAACTCACCATGCTAGTGCGTTCCTATTAAATATACTGAAACCTGTTAGAGAAAAGTCTGAAAGGAAAAAGGTTGAATTGTGGCCTAATGCAGATCCTACTAAAATTTAATGTTACTTTCCATTCATGGTGGTAGATGAGGTCCTTGATGCTGACAACAAAGTGGCCCTCCGATGTGGTGGGTATCTACAGCTTGCTTTTTCACTGTGCCAGGATATTATTAGGAAAAAGGGATCAGTAAAAAGGAATCTGAAACCTGATCTAGTGCTGAGGAATGCCTTTTGAATGTGTCATTTGAACCTAGTTATTACTTTTGGGAGGTGTGAATGTCTTTGCTCAAAACCTGAAATGGACCGTGAAAGTAGTAAAAAAGTTACACAAGCCTTCATGCAATTAAGCAAAGTAGTTTCAAAGAGGTAATTATATACTCCTGAAGCTGTACATCAAGATACCCAATAAAACGCATCATGTATTTGTTGGATGTTCCTTGTTTCACCTTACATTAAGGTCCATCCATTTTCCAGATTTTAAAAATATCTATGAATTTATGTATATATTTAGATCCTGCACACTTAGATGATCTTTTTTGTTCTTAAACTACATTTATTCCCTCATGAATGTTGCTCTATCTCCATTTCTAAAACGCTGAATGGGCAGATTGTTTCTATCAAGCATTTCATATGAACAGTTTATGAAGTGTGAACAATAGAGGGCTGTCTAATGATTGGTTATCATGACTTTCAAAGTTAACTGATACAGAACCCCTGCTCAGGGAGAATCAGGGTTTTTTATTGCACCTAGCAGGAAATTTTAGGGAATATTATAAACTGGCCAATTTTAAGGAAGTAAGATGGATGGCTGACAGTAAAATGCTTACAAGCCGTGGCTATGTATGTAATACTGAACTGCTGTGCAATTCCTCCTTCGGTATGCTCCTTAATAGGAAAAAAATATTATATGGTGAAATTAATAAACTTTTAGAAATTTACTGGAGACCCTTTCCAGCAGAGGTCAGAATGAAAGAGGGAAACAGTGGTACTTGCTGAGGCTGACAGCTAAAAGCACAAGACCATCAGTCACTCAGATGTGGTTTAGCATTCAACACAGATCATTTAGCCTTGATTTTCCAAACAACTGCTGTCTCCTACAATACACACCCACCTAGTTGTTCTCGCTGTGTGTAGGTTGTCACACAGGGGCAACAAACAGGGTTCCCATAGAGAACTTCCATCTTTGCAGTTCAGAAAGGAAAAGCCACTGATTGGAGTCAGCATGCTGT